ATGTAGATATATGCTTAGATATTTTGAAAATAAGAAATTATTTGTTCAAAATATTTATATAGTACATGTGAAATCGTAGAACAGTGGCAAGAAAATGACACAAATTCTCTAAGCAAAACCAGTTCATCTGGTTCATCGTTATGCGTAAACCTTGAGGTTGTTTGTTTGGTTGTGTGGATCGGGGCCATTCGGGGCAGCACTTCCTGCTTTGGGGCGTTCGTTTGTGAGCTTTTTATATGGTTTATCTGCCATAATCTGAGAGATTACAGCTTAGTTCAAGTTAGTGCGATACAAACAAACAAACCTTTAGTCTGCCTCTTTTCTGTGCTTCGATGCTGTTTTGATTTTGCCCCATTTCTCAAAGTTTGGAAAAAAAAAAATTAAGAAAAGTCAAAATTTGTTGTCATGAATCTGAACCTATGGTTATAAACACAAAATATAACAAAACTCAGTTCACGATTCCTACCGATCATCGCCGATAAGGCAAAGATAAGGCAGGTCTTTTCTCCTGAATAAGGCAGATCCTTATCCTTAATAAGGCTGTCCTTATTACAAACGGAAACTGCGCATGCGCAGCTGTCGAAATAAGGCTTGCCTTAATAAGACAAGCACTTGCAATATCTCTCTACTATCAGAGAAACCAAGTACCTCAAATTTTACCTGCAGCTTTCACCTGTACAGGTAGAATGGTTCACAAAATCCAGTAGAAGGATAGTATTTTTACAATTTTTGGAGCCAAATATGAGAGATTGCTCAATCAAATATCTATCGGGGTATTATGCTCTTCAAGAATATAGAATGAAATATAGGGCGTCCCATTTGAAAAAAGCTGGAAGCATGCAAAATTTCACATTTCTGACATTCAAATTTTATTTCTGACCATGGTTTCTAAAAATTCAGCCAAAACTGTACAACTTTTGTATTTACACCTTTCTTTTACCTGTGAAGGTAAAGGCTGTAGGTAGAGTTCCAATATTTAAAAAAAAAAACCTGTACAAATAAATAGATTATTGCAAAACTTACTACTTCCGCAGCCATCTACTCATCAATATACTGTTGAACTGTTCAAGTAAGACATTCACCTGAAACGTATAGTTTTCAAACTAATGAGAATAACTCACATTTGAGTGAGTCAGTTTAGTATCGTACTTGAACAACATATTAATGAATAGATGAATGCGGAACTCGCTGCGCACGTCCCGCAGAGGTCCACCCATAAGTTCCGCAAAAATCCACTCGTTTGTACTTGAATAACTTGTTACAATATATTACTAGTTTGATAAAGTAACATTACTAATTGCTGTTGAATGGCGAATTGACAAAAAGTGGATAATCTTACAAATTCTGACTTTATATAATAAGTTATTGTTCAAATAAGTATAAATAAGTGGATTGTTGCGGAACTTATAGGTGGACCTCTGCGGGACGAGCGCAGCGAGTTCCGCAGCAATCTATTCACCAATATACTGTTCAAGTAAGACATTCACCTGAAACGTGTAGTTTTTAAACTAATGAGAATAACTCACATTTGAGTGAGTCAGCTTAGTATCGTACTTAAACAACATATTAATGAATAGATGAATACAAAAATGGTTTCTTGCATCTGATAGGGCCAGTATACGGAATTTTATATGATTTTGTGTACTGGGTGACGATGGAGGCGCGTGGCCCCATGGAAGGGAGTGTTTGTTGGCAGGATTCTGTACGTGTGCTTGTGGTGTAGAAGGTAAAATTTAATTTATTAAAAAATATAAAATATAAAACTCAATCAATAATTGCTATTTTTTGCACCATTGGCATATGTGGGAGATTTGTTGCGAGGCATGCACTTTTGGTGGGCGATGCGTTTGTTTTTTTGTCGCACAGTACCTATATAAATAAAAATTGTATAACATAGTAAAATTGTTTATTGTACCTACTTATGAAAATGCATTAATATAACAAATAAGTACCAAACTCAAATTGTGACCCATAAACCCAAAATATGACTATTCATGATAGTGACATTTAAACCCCGACTGTGACGTAGTGAGTAGGATTAAGTAAAAATAGCACTAACAAACAACTTAAAGTTGTTTCTGTGCTTACTTGTTTATTTTCTAAGGTAGATTGTAGATTTCAAGTTATATTTTACCATTTGTTATTCGAAAATAAACTATTATTATTATTATTATTATTATTATTATTATTATGACTGCGGGACGAGCGCAGCGAGAGGTCCACCCATAAGTTCCGCAACAATCCACTCGTTTCTACTTGAATAACTTGTCACAATAAATTACTAGTTTGGTAAAATAGCATTACTAATTGCTGTTGAAAGGCGAATTGACAAAAAGTGGATAATCTTACAAATTCTGACTTTATATAATAAATTATTGTTCAAGTACAAATAAGTGGATTGTTGCGGAACTTATGGGTGGACCTCTGCGGGACGAGCGCAGCGAGTTCCGCAGCCATCTACTCACCAATATACTGTTGAACTATTCAAATAAGACAATCATCTGGAACTTGTAGTTTTTGAACTAAGAAGAATAACTGACATTTGAGTGAGTCAGTTTAGTATCGTACTTGAACAACATATTAATGAATAGATGAATGCGGAACTCGCTGCGCACGTCCCGCAGAGGTCCACCCATAAGTTCCGCAAAAATCCACTCGTTTGTACTTGAATAACTTGTTACAATATATTACTAGTTTGATAAAGTAACATTACTAATTGCTGTTGAATGGCGAATTGACAAAAAGTGGATAATCTTACAAATTCTGACTTTATATAATAAGTTATTGTTCAAATAAGTATAAATAAGTGGATTGTTGCGGAACTTATAGGTGGACCTCTGCGGGACGAGCGCAGCGAGTTCCGCAGCAATCTATTCACCAATATACTGTTCAAGTAAGACATTCACCTGAAACGTGTAGTTTTTAAACTAATGAGAATAACTCACATTTGAGTGAGTCAGCTTAGTATCGTACTTAAACAACATATTAATGAATAGATGAATACAAAAATGGTTTCTTGCATCTGATAGGGCCAGTATACGGAATTTTATATGATTTTGTGTACTGGGTGACGATGGAGGCGCGTGGCCCCATGGAAGGGAGTGTTTGTTGGCAGGATTCTGTACGTGTGCTTGTGGTGTAGAAGGTAAAATTTAATTTATTAAAAAATATAAAATATAAAACTCAATCAATAATTGCTATTTTTTGCACCATTGGCATATGTGGGAGATTTGTTGCGAGGCATGCACTTTTGGTGGGCGATGCGTTTGTTTTTTTGTCGCACAGTACCTATATAAATAAAAATTGTATAACATAGTAAAATTGTTTATTGTACCTACTTATGAAAATGCATTAATATAACAAATAAGTACCAAACTCAAATTGTGACCCATAAACCCAAAATATGACTATTCATGATAGTGACATTTAAACCCCGACTGTGACGTAGTGAGTAGGATTAAGTAAAAATAGCACTAACAAACAACTTAAAGTTGTTTCTGTGCTTACTTGTTTATTTTCTAAGGTAGATTGTAGATTTCAAGTTATATTTTACCATTTGTTATTCGAAAATAAACTATTATTATTATTATTATTATTATTATTATTATTATGACTGCGGGACGAGCGCAGCGAGAGGTCCACCCATAAGTTCCGCAACAATCCACTCGTTTCTACTTGAATAACTTGTCACAATAAATTACTAGTTTGGTAAAATAGCATTACTAATTGCTGTTGAAAGGCGAATTGACAAAAAGTGGATAATCTTACAAATTCTGACTTTATATAATAAATTATTGTTCAAGTACAAATAAGTGGATTGTTGCGGAACTTATGGGTGGACCTCTGCGGGACGAGCGCAGCGAGTTCCGCAGCCATCTACTCACCAATATACTGTTGAACTATTCAAATAAGACAATCATCTGGAACTTGTAGTTTTTGAACTAAGAAGAATAACTGACATTTGAGTGAGTCAGGTTAGTATCGTACTTGAAGAACATATTGAAGAATAGATGGCTGCGGAACTCGCTGCGCTCGTCCCGCAGAGGTCCACCCATAAGTTCCGCAACAATTCACTCATTTGTACTTGAATAATTTATCACATTATGTTACTAGTTTGGTAAAGTAACATCACTAATTCCTGTTGAAAGGCAAATTGACAAAAAGTGAATAGTCATAATCTTACAAATTTTGACTTTAAATAATAAGTTATTGTTCAAGTACAAATAAGTGGATTATTGCGGAACTTATGGGTGGACCTCTGTTTGCAGCCATCTACTCACCAATATACTGTTGAACTATTCAAATAAGACAATCACCTGAAACTTGTAGTTTTTGAACTAATAAGAATACTTAACTGACATTTGAGTGAGTCAGGTTAGTATGAACAACGTATTGATGAATAGATGACTGCGCGGAACTCGCTGCGCTCGTCCCGCAGAGGTTCACCCATAAATTCCGCAACAATCCACTAGTTTGTACTTGAATAACTTGTCACATTATGTGTGGATTCTAAAAATTCAGCCAAAACTGTACAATTTTTGTATTTACACCTTTCTTTTACCTGTAAAGGTAAAGGCTGTAGGTGGGCTGTCAATATAAAAAAACACCCTGTATATCCTGTTCACAATCCGATGTCCACAGGTGCAGGTAAATTTATCACCTTTCCGTATCAAATAGCATTGAAAGGTGATTTTACCTGTATCTACCTGTGGACATCAGATTGTGAACGGATAATACCTACCTATTCAAAATCACCTTATTTTCCTATATGTATAGTTCCCCCATTCCCATATTTTTATGAAACATTCCTTCGAAAAACCGTATCTTGCACAATGCGCTGCCAAAACTAACCCAAACTAACCCAATCTGGCTTACTTTAACTTAAACTGCCCCCCCCCCTTTCAAAAGGCCTGTATCCGCCCCTGTGACTCAATCAAGATAGGCACGATATAAACATTCAACTTTCAATAAACATTAAAACATCAGAAATTATCACTTACCGATGTTGACTCAAACTAATTTCATGTCCAAAAGTCTTATTGCAAAGTTCACAAGCGAACGGTCGTTTACCATTATGCGATCTCCTGGCGTGCACTTCCAATCCATGCGGCGTTGAAAACATTTTTTCACATTTGATACAAGAATAAACGTCGCCCACCGGCATCATGCCAGGCCTCATCAGCAAATGATGATGATGAGGATGCATCGCGCTAGGATTGTTCATGAAATGATGTCTCAGCCTGTAAATATCTTCAGCCGAAGGCGTTGCCGGGTATTGAGCACCCGACTGATTACTACTGGCCATCGCAGCCGCCATCGCGCTGAAGTATAGCGACGTTGGTGTTGGTAGGAAGCTTCTTTCTTCTCCTTCTTTTGGCTGGTATAAGCTTGGAGGGAAAAATGAAGGATGTACGAAGCCTCTTGGTAGAAATGTAGGAGAGTATTCGGGAGAATTTTTCTGTAAGGATTGGGCATCTTTCATGAGATCAACGAAAGGTGGGTAAAGGTAAGAGCGGGTAACTGAAATGGTTTCCTGATAGCATGGAGGCGTTTTGAGCTTTTTTGATGGATTATCTGGTCGTAGAAGGGCGCTTACTGAAAAAGCTTCACTTTTTTTGCTGGTTGGAGAATCCACCACTTCTTTTTGGATGTCAGTGACTGATGATGGACGAGGTGAATCTCTGTTGGTAAAAAGAAAGTTTTAGTCAACTTTATTACTATCACTATTACTAGGGCTTATAGATTTTGAGTGTTTGTTTTGGTTTAAGCACTTTGCGGGAACTGACTATTAAGTTTTGCCTTGAATACTAACACTGAAGTAGCACTAACTGTGAGAGGGCAAAGATTCTACTTGGTAGAAAGTTTTCCCTACACCCTGTGAAGTAGTTTTTTGTTTTTAGTTTGAAACTGTGACCGGGGAGTCTCTGGGTCTCTGTTCAAGGCATAAAGGTGTCTAACTGTTTGAATGTTGTCGTGGAGTGTTTCGTAAGTGGAGATAAGAATGATCTACATTGTCATCAGAAAGGATTTTCTCCCAGTTGATTTGCGATATTTCATAATTCATGTGTTTCACTCTATGTACTGTTATTTTTGAATCTCTGTTAAGAAGTCCTGCTTGCAATGTCAGTTTTAATAGTTCGTGGTATAGACTAGATTTTGGTGTAGACCTAAGTTTGTTAGAGTTTCCTTTAAAAGGACTGCTTCATCCCTGGGAAAGGTTAAAGTCATTCAGGTATAATAGGATTTTGGTGGTTTATAGCAAGGCTGAGTTTCAGTCATTTTTTAGCAGGGAATCATTTTGGTCGGTACACACAAACTAAAACGAACGAGAAATTTCTAGAAGTTATGTTCATTACCAGTATGTTAAATGTTTCCACAATCAAAAAAAATAAATTCTCACCTGAATGATGGTGAATTCGTTCTAGATCGCGGAGGTGAATCCACCTCCAATTCGGGACTAGTACTGAGTGAAGGTCTGTTAGGTGAATGATCCCAGGTACTATTTCTCGGCGATGTCCTCTCGTCTCCACTAAAGCAACTGCTACTTTCCTCTTTTGGACAATATTTGGTGTTGTTATTGTTAACCGATTCATCTTCATCGTCTGATTTCGACACTAGACGATTGATCCCAAAGGAAATAGGCTCTGAAACAATGTTAAAAAAACCGCTTGGTACATGGAAAAGCAATTTGCTTGATCAAATAGTAATTAAAGCGAGCAAATTGGACGTTATTATTGTAGGAAATAACGTTCGGTTTAAGGCCCGAATCAAAATGGAAATGACGTCCGTACCAACCAAAACAATCATGGAAAATCTCTGAAAACAGGCACACGCGTATTTGCTCTGTACAATTTCCAATCAAATATGTGTTGCTTTTACCTTTGGAACAATGCAAAAAGGAATAACAGAATGGTGAAATTTTTGAAATAATTTTTAAATTCATATAGAGAATAATTACTATCACTGTTCCCAATCAGACAAAGAATGTCCCGTCCTTCTACGATAATTATCAACAGTGGCGACACATGATTTATAATTTTTATCGTTTTGTTTGAATTTCACAATTCCGTGTCACTCGGGTCACTGTTATTTGTACAATCACCCAGTTTGCGTGATTCTCTACCGCCAGGTATTGAGTCAATATTAGAAGACAAACATCACAAACATGGACAACCTTATGGCCTTGTTTGCTCGAACACAATGATTACAAACGCAATAATAATATTTCCTAAATCAATGTCGTCGCCAAAGAAAATGAAAATCAAGAGAGTCCAATAAATAGTCTGTCGGAGCGGATAGAGCGGAGCAATTGTCTGGATAACCTTTCAAACAATTAATTAAATTGGTTGGGTCGCTGGTCACGGGGGCGCCACTGCGCGGGGGGTCCACTTGATTGAGTCTCCGTTTTCCGGTTTTGTCACTTGAACGGAAACTCTTTTATTAGATCGAGAAGTGGACTCGGGGATTTTATTGAGGATAGAGCAGAATTTTGGTTTAGATTGAGTTGATATAAGTATTGTTGACCTTTATTTGTAGCAACAATCATTTGCCAATAAATGGAAAAAATTGGGTCTTAAAAGATTCAATTGTTCTGGCAAACAATTATTAACTAAACAGTTAATTAAGTAAAATGTTTCCCTTAAATCAAACAAAAAGTAATATTTTACTCAGACGTTATGTGGGTGTAATTACAATCAAACACTTCATTATTAGCCGAAAGCCTCTAGAAGTAATATTTTCATTTTGCCATAAAAGTGATTAATGAATATTACACACGGGCGTCCGACCATACCGTCAGGCACCTTTATTTACTTATCAATTTTCAATAATTATTTCATTTTGATTGATTATATTTGACTAATTTGGAGTTTAGGTTGGGTCGCAGGACGTAAATTAGTAACGGAGTATGAAATAATAATTATTGATGAGCTCAATTATTCTAGTTTTAACCTTCTACAATTATTGCTGAAACCACCAAACAGAAATATATATACCTAGATAAAAGAGAAGAATTGATGAAAAATGTGACATATTATGAGCTTACTTTTGTTCTATTCTTTGGAAAGCTTTCCTAGGCCTTTATTGATATTATTTCTATATTTTTTTCCAGAGGTTTTATTAGTTTTTATCAATTCATTCTTTGCTCTTTTCCTCTTGACTTGAATCGACAAATCAACCAACATTTTGACCCTGGATCTTTGGGACCTCTCGAACTCGATACATTGTATTCATTGTATTATTGTATGATTCAAAACAGAAATCTTTGAAAAAACGCAGTTTTATTCCTGGAATTATAAGTCCAAATGAGTTAGAATTTTCAGGAATCATAGTCCTTTACTATGATATGAATCGCTGAAAATTTCAGCTTTCTATCTCTAATAGAAAAGAAGTTATGATATTTCAAAGTTTACAAAAATCTAAATCCTGAGGTAGTAGCTACCTTAGTACTAAAATAAAGAAATTTCAGATTTATTTGTGCTGAGATTTTGTGTTCAACTGATTATTTGGGACCCCCCAAACTATACTAAATTATCATGAGATCTGAAGCCGAAATCTTTAAAAAAACGACGTCAGAAGAATTGATAAATTCACCCCAAATTGCCTAACACGATTTTATTTTTTGAACTATAAGTCCAAATGAGCAGACATTTTCAGGAATTGTAATATTTTATATAATATATAATAATATCCTCGACTGGGATAAGAATCGCTGAGAGTTTCAACTTTCCATATATAACAGAAAAGAAGTTATGACCTTTCAAAGTTTTCCAAAATCTAAATCATAAGGTAGCTACCTCAGTACCTACTAAAACGATGAAATTTCAATTTTTTTTTTGTTGAAATTTTGTGTCTTAACGGTCCTTTGAGATCCCTCAAACTTCATACACTGAATTATTCTGAGATTTGGAGCCGGATTCTATGAAAAAAGGTACTCAGAATCAGAAAAATTGAAAAACTGAAAAATCATGCCAAATTGCTTAACACGACTTTATTTCTGGAACTATAAATCCAGATCAGTTGAAATTTTTAGGGATTGTAGCGGGATAATAATTTTTATCCATAATAAAAAAAAGTTACAACCTCTCAAAGTTTTCCAAAATCTAAATCATACCTATACCTACCTACTAAAACGATAAAATTTCCATTTTTTTTTTTTTTTGAAATTTTGTGTCTTAACGGTCCTTTGGGATCTCCCAAACTTTATACACCGAATTATTCTGAGATTTAAAGCCGGATTATATGAAAAAAGGCACTCAGAAAAATTGAAAAATTGATAAATCACCCCAAAGATTTCCATGTACCTATATATTGTCCTATCTATAACGATAGTTTATTATAGGTACTCAGTTATCTTCCAAAAGGTCTATGGGTTTCAATAAAATTTTTAATTAGTTTACACTATAAACCAAGAATCTATAATTTTTCTACAAACGTCACTAAAAGTGTCATTTTTAACAGATGCTGTCAGTGTCTAAAATGCCATTTTATGAAACTGGTGTTAAAAGTGATTACTTTTAGCACTAGTGCTAAAGTAATCACTTTTAGTGCTTTTATAGAAAAAATAGTGTATGATATTCGTGCTAAAAGTGATTTTATTTGGTTCAAAGGGATGGAACACTCCGCCTTCGGCGTCCTATCCCAAACTTCCCTTTTCACAAAATAAAATGTCACTTTTAGCACTTATATCATAAATAACTATTTTCTACTACCGCGCGTAAAGTACTCACTTCATGCACTATTCAGCAGACGTAAAATGCCACTCACGCACTAGTGCGTAAAGTAATTGTATGCATGTCAACTATGTAAAGTCAATATCAATTTCGAAAACGAGCTCAAAAGCCAAAACCGGGATTATGAATTACAAAATTCAAATTTTAAATATTCCTGTTTCCTATTGGGTTGATTTTGTTTCTCAAGAGTTTATAATTCAGGTCAAACCATGGGCTGACCCAATCCATGAGCCAGGAATAGACAAAAGTTGAATTGTGATTTTGAAAACTTTAATTTCAAATTTGTTCTTTTCTTGATTGGAATATTTTCATATCTTAGAAAGAATTCGACCAATCGAATCATAATGAGCTCACCCAATCAAAAGCCGAAAGCTGGATTGTGAATTCTAAAATTCAAATTTTGAATATTCCTGGCTTCTGATTGGGTTGATGATGTTATATCTTAAGAGTTCATAATTCAGATCAAATCATAAGCTGATGCAATCCAAGAGCCAGGAATGGACAAAAGTTGAATTTTGATTTTGAAAACTCAAATTTGTTCTTTTCTCGATTGGAATATTTTCATATCTTGGAAAGAATTTGATCAATCAAATCATAACGAGCTTATCCAATCAAAAGCCGAAAGCTGGATTGTGAATTATAAAATTCAAATTTTGAATATTCCTGGCTCCTGATTGGGTTGATGATGTTATATCTTAAGAGTTCATAATTCAGATCAAACCATAAGCTGATTCAATCAAAGAGCCAGGAATAGACAAAAGTTGAATTTTGAAAACTCAAACTTCAAATTTGTTCTTTTCTTGATTGGAATATTTGCATATCTAAGAAAGAATTCGACCAATCAAACCATAACGAGCTCACCCAATCAAAAACTGAAAGCTGGATTGTGAATTCTAACATTCAAATTTTGAATATTCCTAGCTTCTGATTGGGTTGATGATGTTATATCTTAAGAGCTGATAATTCAGATCAAGCCATAAGCTGACCCAATCCAAGAGCCAGGAATGGACAAAAGTTGAAGTTTGATTTTGAAAACTCTAATTTCAAATTTGTTCTTTTCTTGACTGGAATATTTTCATATCTTGGAAAGAATTTGATCAATCAAATCATAACGAGCTCACCCAATCAAAAGCCGAAAGCTGAATTATGAATTTTAAAATTCAAATTTTGAATATTCCTGGCTTCTGATTGGGTTGATGATGTTATATCTTAAGAGTTCATAATTCAGATCACAACATAAGCTGACCCAATCCAAGAGCCAGGAATAGACAAAAGTTGAATTTTGATTTTGAAAACTCAAATTTGTTCTTTTCTCGATTGGAATATTTTCATATCTTAGAAGGAATTCGATCAATCATATTGAAACGAGCTCACCCAATCAAAAGCCAAAAGCTGAATTATGAATTTTAAAATTCAAAATTTGAATATTCCTGGCTTCTGATTGGGTTGATGATGTTATATCTTAAGAGTTCATAATTCAGATCAAATCATAAGCTGATGCAATCCAAGAGCCAGGAATGGACAAAAGTTGAATTATGATTTTGAAAACGTTAATTTCAAATTTGTTCTTTTCTTGATTGGAATATTTTCATATCTTAGAAAGAAATCGACCAATTGAATCATAACGAGCTCACCCAATCAAAAGCTGAAAGCTGGATTGTGAATTATAAAATTCAAATTTTGAATATTCCTGGCTTCTGATTGGGTTGATGATGTTATATCTTAAGAGTTCCGAATTCAGATCAAACCATAAGCTGATTCAATCCAAGAGCCAGGAATGGACAAAAGTTGAATTATGATTTTGAAAACTCAAATTTCAAATTTATTCTTTTCTTGATTGGAATATTTTCATATCTTAGAAAGAATTCGATCAATCATATCAAAACGAGTTCATCCAATCAAAAGTCGAAAGC